AGTGATGAGGTGTTAAGTCCATCACTGGCAATGGCACCATAAATGTCTGTTGGTATTTCTTAACACCATTACTAAGATTGAGTTAATCTTAGCAATGCCGCCAAGAAACACCAACTACGATAGTTCTTAACGATTACAGAAAATATCCGCAAGCACATGGATCTATCGTTTTATCATTTCACCCAAAAGTTTTTAGGGTATCATTATTTATATTTTCCCAAAGGAGGGCAAGGTATGCAGAGTCTAGCATGAGCATGACAAGATTACATACTTTCATAAGTAAACCAATAGTTCATGATAGGGGTAAAAACGGTATATCAAGGATAGTGGACACACATCTGGGTCAACCTCAAGGATAAATTGAAAATAAAGAATAAAAGAATATCTCTACATGGAGCCGGCATGATCTAATATAGCTGTGCAAAGAACAGTTAATGATCATACAAGTTATATGATTAGAGTTAGAGCTAAGTTTAAGATGGACGAGGAGATCTCTGAGCACTGGTTTGCCAGCAAGCGCGAGAGACTTTAAGACTCCTACACAATACCCGAACGTGGGGGATTACAAGGGATGAACAGGGCTATCACCACCTACCGCCTACCCCTCAACCATGGGATACCATCATATCCGAAGGTTCTCGTGAACCCGAGCACCATGCCTATGTATAAGGAAACTACCTATATCCCCCCGGGACTCCAACCCTACGGATTGACAAGCAAGAATATAGGCAACCCCGAAGGAACGACGAACCGCCACCTCAACCCTAGTTCTACTTCTACTCATACAATTCATATGAATGATTAACCATAAAGTTGGACATGTTAAGATCATAACACACAAACTATATGCTAGTTCATATATCATGATTATAACATGAAAACTATACTCTAGTTCATATGCACTACTATATAAAATGATATGAGAGCATGAATATGGAAGAACTCTTCATAGTATTATTCATACCAAAGTTGCTCTTCTTCCAAGGAGACAAGCTCTCCAAGTAGCTTTGCTAGCTCCAAATACTACAAAGAACTAAAGCTAAAAGAGTACAAGAGTAGGGTAGTGAGTTGTAGCTCCAAACGATGTGTGTTTTGAGAATAAGTTCCTCCTCTTCTTATATAGTGAAGCATGGTCGATTTGGCACTGATAAATAAGAAAACCGACCAAAACAGCCTATGCATGGAGGCATGCAACCGTCGGAGGAGCGTGGGCCCAAGAGGCGGTGGTGGGGGTGCGGGCGCACCTAGGGTGCGGCCGCACCCTGGCTGGCCCTACTCGCCACCGTCTTGCTCCTGTGGGCTCAAATTTGGCGGTTGGATGGGTCTTTTCTTGACTCCTTGGTGTATGATCTGCATTACGCTTTCTCTGATGGCGTATTTCGACTATAATTCCATTGTATTCCAATATAAGTCCTACAAAATATATTTCTTTCGATACAAGTGGAACTATGTCAAAGTAAAAGTATATGTGTACAAGTTTGCTTAATTTCTCCTATTTTGGATAGTAATTGGTGGTCGAATTTTATCGTTAGTGACCACCAACACCGGCTTGCCCGCATAGATCCACCAGTGCACGAACTGCTGCTGTCACCGACATTGGCACTCGTGCTCACCACCACTAGATCCAAAGGCAAGTGTAATAAGGCCTTACATGCATCGTCGTCACTCCTCCTCGAAACTCATCTCCTTACTAATGTTTATTGATGTAATTCCATGGCAGGGTGACCTCATCTCTTTGGCTGCTAGTGTCCTTCCAGATGAAGGAGGCCCGCAATATGAGGAACGCAGTGGACAACCTCTCAGACGATGTGCTTGTCGACATCTTCAGCTACCTCCCCGCTCGGTCCTTGTGCTGCTGCAAGTGTGTCTATCGCTCCTGGAGACGCGTCATCTCCGACTCCTATCAACGTAAGAAGCTTTCACAGACTGTCGTCGGCTTCTTCTATGGCAGCTGGTGGAAGGGCAATCACCACTTCACCAGCATCACCGATCAATGGCCCTCCTTATCCTTCTTGTCCTTCCCCCTTAAAAAAGTTCTAGCCTCAGATTGTTGCAGCAGCCTTGTCCTTTGCTAGTGTGCTGGGCCTGATGGATTACGTCGCTATGTTATCTGCAATCCGGCGACCCACAAATGACATGTACTGTCGCATAGCATCCGTTTTGTTGGTCTGGCTCGCTTAGGTTTTGACCCAACATCCTCGCACTTCCATGTGATTGAATTTGTTGAGGTGGAGGGTGCGTGCATAGGTGTAGAGATCTACCCATCTAAAACTACAGCATGGATCTTTAAGGAATCTGAATGGGGCAAGGGTAGTATTGTTATACGTTCGAAATAGAGAAGTATTTTTCTTAATGGTTTGTACACATGGTTGAGTACTCTGTGATAGTTGTTGTGGATATGGAGGGAGAGACATGAAGGACAATTCGTAAACCAGGTGGTGCTGAAATGTTCATCCATCAAGCTCAGGGTCACGTTTGTGTTGTGCTGATTTTCACAATAGGTCTTGGCTTTTAGTGTAGAAACTTGAACACTATGGTACTGATAACTGAATTTTGAAGCATGTTGTGAACACGGAGGAACTGTTTGGATGCATGAATATTAAAGTTGGTTCTGAGCTTTGTGATGAGGAGTACAGAGTGATTAAAGTTCACCCAGAATGGAATTTCATTTTTCTTGTTGAAAAGGATAGAACATTGATTGCATATGACATGGATCGCAGAAAGGTTCATATCATCCATGCATGTGTCATCCGCTTTAGTAGATCAAGAGGACGTTTCTATATGAACAAGCATTACTATCTTCCTTATGTTCCCTTGTTCATAGAATCTTTAGCAGAACAGTAAAGATGCATTTCCTGCATTTCATCGTCACCATAGTCATAGTCTTTGTTCAGCTAGAGCGCGTGGAACGCCTGTGTACGGCTGAAACACGCCAACGCGTACGCCTTCGATGACGGCGGTGATGTCGTTGTAGGCTGCTGCACAACAGCGGTGCTACGCTAACGTAAGGCCAGCGCGGCTTCGGGACCGGATCCACGTACGATGCTCTACGCCATTGTCTCCACTCTCAAAAAAAAAAAACCTTCAGGTCATCATCGCAATGTATGCCTGTTGCAGGATGCAACAACGAGGGATGACCCCAAGGTGTTCGACGAAATGCATGTTCGGAGCGCAGTAATTTGGATATGTCCCTCGTTTGCTTTGCCTCCGCCTCCGCTTGCTTGGACAACGTGCTCACGCTGCTGCGCTCAACCACAAGCATCGGCATGGGCATCTGCGACCACACCAAGTTTGCCACGCTCATGACCATTCCATCGGCATGCTCAGCGAAGGACACAAGTATAGCGATGCACTGAGGATAATTGCTCGTGGTAGCGGCATCCATTGTGCTCGTCAAAGCTGTTTCGACTCTCTGTTAGCTGGCGTGGCCATTGATAATGCTTAGGAGTCTTGGACAATTTAAGTATTAATTACCATTATCATAATATAGGCTATATGAATCATCCTGGCACTAGAAATTAGGATATGATTACTCTTTTGTAGCTCTATGTCCTATAGCATTACTTGTTTGTGCTTGCAAGTTCATAGAATTTAAGCCGACGTGCCTTAATCTTAGTTAGATAACTGGTGATTTTTACTAAATCTAGCAAGAGGTCATAAGATGCAGCCTTACTAAATGTAGCAAGAATCGATGACTTTGACTAGTATCAAAGCAGGCAAGAGGTCAAACGATCTAGCCTTACGAGATTAAACACGAGTCGGTTTGATTAATACCAAATCAAGCAAGAAATCAAAATAAGCAATAAATCAAAAATAATGCAGCCTTACAAGATCAGATACAAATCGGTAATGACGATACTTATAAGCAAACCGGAGATTGAAATCGATGCAGCCCTGCTCATTAAGAACTCGTCGAGATCTACGTTACTCCTAGGGGCGGATCTAGGGCCCGGGCTGCTCGGGCTGTAGCCCGGGGCGAGTCCATGTAGCCCCTTTAATATATGTGGTGTTTAGCCTAAAAAACTATGATCTTAATTAGACAAAAGGAGGCCTAGGAAGCAAGATCAGACTGTTTTGAACGTGAATCAGCAGCTCAGCCTGGGGCTAAAAAACTATGATCTTAATTAGACAAAAGGAGGCCTAGGAAGCAAGATCAGACTGTTTTGAACGTGAATCAGCAGCTCAGCCCGGGGCGCAGCCCCATTCTGGATCCGCCTCTGGTTACTCCTACTCTAAGGTTTGACGTTGAGCCGAAAAGTTTTATTGATTGTGTGTATATGTGATCCTAATTATATGACACGAGTCCTAAACAAACACAACTAGACTGTTATTGAATAAAAAGAAATAATCTACTTCACATAAATTGGACTCCGCGATTCCCTTTACGATGCAGTCCGACTCTATCACACCTTGGCCGATGCCGCCTCAGGGCCTGTTTGATATGGAGCCGTGGAGTGTCCCTGCGCTCCTGGCCTGCAACCTCGCATGTTTGATATCCTGGGCCCAGTCACGAGCCAGGCCGGTCTGGTGCAAAAACACACACACACTCTCTCTCTTGGCTCCCAGCAAACGAAGATGAAGGCCGTTTTTTTGGCAGCCCGGCTCGCTTCGGCGAGGAAGCGCGAGTTCGACTCACCTCCCGCATCGCGTGTCTCTCTCACCGCTCGAACTCGCTCGCGTAAACCAAAGAGATGAAGTCGCTTTGCTGCTTGACGTCGAAGAGGGAGACGAAGTAGACGAGCGCGAGGAGGTCCTGGACTGACGAATCTGAGTCAGAGGAGGAAGCGGCGGCGGCGGGACAGGGGCGGGAGGAGAGCTCCTCCGCGACGGCGGATGCGAGCGGGGGGCGGAGGCGCTCGAGGTCGTCGATCAGAGCGGCGACGACGGGCCAGGAGATCGGCGTCGGGACTGATCCCGGCCAGGGGAGCTGACGACGGCGGAGATGGAGGGCCGCTCGATTCCGGTAAGAAGGTTGTATGCGGCAGGGGAACAACGGCTCCATGTGGCGGTGCTCGATTCCGTTGGGCCGTGCTGGAGAAGCTGCCCACCTACGACGACCGCGTCCGCCGCGCCATCGTCCCGCGCTCAGCCTCGTCGACGTGCTCAGCCTCGGCCCGCGCGAGAGGCGGGCGCTGCTGAAGCGCCTCGTCCGCGTCGCCGACGAGGACAACGAGCGGTTCCTGCTCAAGCTCAAGGCCAGGGGCGCTGACGCCGGCGGTGGTGCTCGCATTGGTGCTGGGTTCACCTGGGCGGTAAGTGCTCGATGGAATGCCAAGTAGAGACAGAGAAGGGTAACGCTACCTTTTCTAGGTGCAAGGTGATCAAATCGATCTGTCATCGTATCAAACACAACCTTAACTCAGCTTGGCTCAATAGGAACATAAGAATCAAACACGAGAGGTTGCAGCATGGGAGCCAGGCTAGAGCTGGCCACAGCCAGGCCAGCCGGCCGGGCCACCCCGGCGCCCCAAATCAAACAGGCCCTCTTGCCACGCCAGGCCGATTGCGGTTCCTTCCATGTCCTGTGAAGCCTGCTGACGCCGTGGTCACCAAAATCCGGTGCAAACACCGCTGCAACGCCATCTTGAGGATACAAATTCCAGATAGTACAAACCTGGCAAGGAGACCGCAGCAGATGTTCACCTGACACACAAATCAGCATATACGGCTGGCTAGCTTTAAACCATGCTGAGATTCAGATTCTGCTTTGCTGTCGCTGGATTGTATTCATAGATCGATAGCTCAGACCAACAATGTCAGCTGGATCATACATACAACATACTGTCTCCGTCTGTCGCAATATGCTCCAAAGTATGACGCACGGACAATATAGTTTAGCTCACAAAATCAGCTTTCAGCAACCAACGCGATTACGCAAGCTTATCTCCATCGTCTGTACCCTGCCCTCTTCGCACACCTCTAATAATAACCTATAGTAATATAATAAGATATAGTCCCAGTCCCATTGTGCAACGCAAGCAGGCAACCACATCCACATAGGCACCAAGACAAAATTTGCACTACATACTCGTCTATTTATTCATTGTTGAAAACAATAGCTTTGCCTTGGCCGTCATCTATCATACACGGCATCGACTAAACAGCCACACACCATCACATATCAAAACATCACACATGAAGGACCATCATAAGTTTTATCTTGTTTACCGTTTTCATCGTTCAGCTATGAAGCTAATAAACTTGACAGCTCCTCATCCGTCAGCACCGAGGGAGCAACTTTCACCTTCTGTACTGCAAAGCCGGCCTCCTGGCAAGCCTTGCGGAGATGCTCCACCTGCGTATCCCCATCTGGGCACAGCGCAACCACTGCGCCTCCGCTGCCAGTGAACTTGGATGCCGCACCCACGCTGCGTGCCACCTCCACCATCCTTATGTTCACTGAACCAAGTACATCATCCCCAAACATTTCCCTACAATCACGTAACCAATAACCACATGTAACTCTGTCTTACCTTGCCATTCCAAGCATGCGTCCAAGAAGACACATTAATCTTACCTTCGCAGATCAAAATTCTTATTCATAAGCCTCGCTAGCTCAGTATAATCCTTCTGCAACAAAGCCTTGTGACCATTAAATGCTACCTGCGCTACTTCCTTCATACGTGATATTATAAACGCATCACCATCAAGCCATCTTTGTCTAACACTGCTGTGGACCTACGTTAACATAGATGGCTGTTAACTAGCAGGACTCAAACATCTCAATATTACTCTGTGGCATGTGACAACATTAAAGGATGACTTGCAGTTTATAGATTTAACTTAGCAAGAACCTTGCCAGAATCACTGGGGTTCTGTGCATAGATGAGGTATAGAGGAGGAAGCAGATTCACGTCCAATGGCATGTATATGCCATGACCCAGCTTGTCCATATGCTCCTTGCTAAAATCCTGAGTAATACACAAACTGAAACGTTAACAAAGAGAGTTCAAACTAGCTAGCAATACTTATGCAACAACTTATTAATGAAACAGAGTTCACACTAGCTAGACTACAAGTATGTTTGCAAGAACATAACTGCCAATAATGAATGTTTGCATCACGTACCATATAAACCAGTCCACCATAAACCTGTGCCACTCGGTCCTGAAGTCCAGCAACAATTCCAAGCTCTTTCTCAGCGTTAAGAATTAGATTAGGTCTCATTTCAACTTTTATTAGATGTCTGACATCATAGAAGTCAAGAAGGCAGCTTAGAGCAGCACAGACAATCGCGCTCGAACCAGACAGCCCAGCCTACAGAACAAAAGAATCAAGATAATATGCTTTAATCTCCAACTCATCATCATATCAAGAAAATGTTATAGCAAGGATTATAGAGCTGCCAATATGTAATGCAAGTATAAGAGGGAAACAACTGAAGTGGATTGCAGCTAGTTACCTGCCGAGGAATATTAGTATCATACGATAAGGTGAAATTTTCAGCTTTTAAACTGATATTATTTTCAATACAATGGTTGTAGAAAACTTTACAGATAGCCATCAGCAGCCGGACGCCTCCATAATATCCTTCACTTTGCAAACGACTCACCTAAACAAAAAGGGAAAAAAATAATACCAACATAGGCTATTTGTTCAAATAATGGTAGCGATAGTTAAATGCCTTGAAACTTGGCATATCTCAATATAATGTTCAGGTTGGCAATCGCCTGCCGTAGTTCCTCTAAAAATATAGTGAAATGCCTTGATGTTTCAGCAAGATTGTTCGTCTCTGAACATATTTCTTCCTAGCCAAAACGCAACCTGATTCAATTGTTTTGCCTATGGCTCATTTGTATTGGAAACAGTTCAAGAAGAATTTTCCTTGTGCCAAAATTTTCGGGAAGACCTTTTTTTCCTGTATTGTAAGCTCTGATTCTTTTCTTCTTTGATTGACGTACAAGGGTTGGTTGTCCTGAATTCATAATTCATATGGAAAATTAGATATATCAGTGTGCAACTTGTTCCTTCTTGGCTCATATGGATCCCACAGATTGAAAATGTGCACATAAGAGAGATGCAGAAATACATTGTATGATTGGGTTTGCTCAACAGAATAGCAGCGCTTATCTTTAAAAAAACAGAATTGCAGTGCTTGATTCATTGCAATGATGCATGATGGTCATCATTGGGAGGGAACAGAAGAATGTTAAATGTAGCATGTTTCAGGCTGGATGACATGGCCATCTTGTTTGATATGGTGAAAAGAGGACTAAATAAGATAAGAGAAACATGAGAATATATTCGTTAATTATATAGGTTTTATGGAATGGAGTGGAATCAAATCAAATCCCACCGTGCAAGTTATTTATTAACTCCGTCCGTTTGTTCAGTATAAAGTAATTGCGAAAGAAGAAAAGATTCTTATTTTAGATTAGAAAAGGAGAGGAAGGTGGGGTGGAAAAGAAGAGGCACGCTTATCCTCGAGTTAGTGCCCTTTTAAATAAAGCACTGGATATATGACGAATTGAGGTCTTGAGAGAACATTTAATTCAGTGAATGTAGCAGGAATACATTGCCAATAAAATGCAACCCCCCCCCCCCCTTTGTTGAAGGCAGTAGCTGTTTCGCCATCCGGATCGACCTAGCCTCGGAGCTGGAGTTAATATACTGTAATAAACACTAAAGACTCGAACTCTTGGTGCTTCCTCAGTTTTATTGTTCTTCTGTTCTGTATATGCTATTGCTTCCTTGCTCAGTTATCTTGTTGTTTTGGATTTATTTAAACGATGTGACTAGTTGAATGGATTAGGAACGCACTTGTATTTTTGGACAGTACTGATAGAACTATCAGCGAATAGGGTGATGATAGATGGGTCGACAGAAAGAACTTAAAGAGAGCAGTGGTTTGTGCTTACAAGTTGACTGAGGGAGGGGAAGGCGACAAGATCGTGGTATGGGTGCGGCTGGATGAGCAGCTCGGGCGAAGGGCGGAGGCGGACCGTGGCAAAGAAGTCGGCGATGGTGAAGGACAGCGCCCTACCGCCGTATAGGTCGCTGGGGTTGCCGAGGAGCCCTATCCGCGCGTACGCCCGCCGCTCGAACCCCATCTCCGCTGCCGCCATGTCCTTCACAGCCACAGATGAGGCGAGGTTAGTCGTTACTTGGGAACCATCATCTGTATGCCACATATTTGCCAGCAACTGAACGAACCTGCAAGCAGCTAAAGTCCACTCTTCTAATATTAAGAATTGAACATTTGTCGATTGGGACAAACCTAGGAAATGATTCAACAATAGGGAAGCATAACTTATCTAATATTCAACCATTCTTTCAAGGCTTCATCAAGGCACTCTGAAGATTTACAACACTCAGCTCCAGAACCAGTTGACCCACAGGCAACTTGGTCTGCACTAAAAAGGAAAAACAATCTGCTTCCATATGTGTTTATTTTGTAACTCGAAAATGTTCAATGTGATGTGCTCTCTGCTTTAGTATGAGTAGTAAGTAAAAGCCTTGCTGGGACTGCACAATGTTTCGGTCTGATCTTTCCTAGGAACGAAATAAGGAATTTCTTTGAGAAATTTTAGTAGTCCTATAACAAATGAGAACGCCAAAGTAGTAGCTATTAGTATCTCCCAAGCAATCCAATCCAGCCTGGTGAAGCAACTGGCTACAACACCAGGTGCTCCGAGTTAGGCATGCAGGGGAGGATCTGGACAAGTGAGCCAACGACTGAAAAGGATCATATCTTAGCTACTTCTTGTTTCTAGAGAAAACAAATTAGTCTAGAGAAAAATTACATATGAACACATCAGCAAAGGGCCTGGCCCCAGAGCAGCCACCAGCCAGTGGCAGGAGGTCCACCTGCAGCGGCTCAAGGCCTAGCCCAAGGACGGCGGCCGTCATCCTTGACGCTGGGGACGTCCACGCCCAGGGCCGCCAGGTAGAAGACGCCACCAGCTGAGACGACTGTTCTGGTCAAGGAGGTGGGCCGACACACCATCCAAGCAAGGGAAAAGGACGCACGCACATGTTCTTGGGTGTTTTTAGTAACTTATTTGATATATACTTTTCCTACATTGTGGATCTCAAGAATTTGGTTTTATCTAAAAATATAAGAATAAATTCTATCAGGAAGCTAGAGCAGACTTCAGTTTAGCATAAAAGGAATGTGATTGCTGGAACGTGATAAGAATTTCAAGTATCGCATTCAAGTGATTATCACAAGTAGTTACTTGAAATCATAGGGCTGTAAAGTAGATGTAAATAAACAAGTGCTAAGTGTGCTGCAGTGCTTTTCAAGCGCTAGCCAACTTCTCCCACAGTCTTCTTAAGAGCAAAATTAGGGGATCTTTCTACCCTAGTTGAGTTTTTTTTTTCAAGCACTAATGGTTGGTTAGTTATTTCTAATGCAAAATTTACCGTGTCTGCAATCTCCTTACTTCTGACCACTCATTGTCTACATCTGAGGCAGAAGGAATTTCTGGCATCTACAGACTTGTGTTATGAACAGTAGAACAAGAACAGTATGGAGAGTAGGGATACCATTTGCAACATGATTACTGTCCAGCAAAGCCTATAGGTAATTTTAGAGGTTGATTCAATGAGAGATATTTTCAATCATTATTTGCAAAAGAAACATTTCCATCATACTGAGTGAAAATCATAGGAGTGAAAGGCAAACAATATGTGCAACCAATTGAACCTCCTGAAGCTCCATCATGCTGCTCAAAGTTTGCTTCGATTTTTTTTAGGTAATAAAAGGAAAACAATATGGCTTCTGCGTTCACACAAGAATGCATATAGCCAAAAAGTCTCCTTCGATAAATTTAACAGATCATCATAAGCTTGGTGTATGTTTATCATGGTTGCAAAAGCAAAACCAACCTTGTTCTGATGGGTTCCTGCAAGAGCACAATAAATAAAAAACTGGAGTTTAGAATTCAACTTAGCCACAATCCTGCCTCAAAAGGGGAACAATTAAGACGAACCAAGGGACCGAGACCGTGGTGCGGATGATGAACCGGAGGCCCTTGATCACTCGCCTGGTCCGGATCCGAGCCCTGCTGGCCGAGAGAGAACCAATGGGTGGAGGGTGCCGGTGCGCCGCCGCCGGTTCCGAGGGATGGGGCCGAGTGTCGCCGGTGAGGAGGGAGGGGACCGAGCGTGTCACCGCCGTCGACCGGGGGAAGGGGGCCGAGCGCCGCTGCGCGTGGGGGTGGATCGCAGATCGGAAGGGAGGAGAGGGCAGCGGAGCAGGAAACAGGGATCAGGGGGCGACGGGCGAGGCGAGCGTGGGGTGGGACGCGGAGGACAGCCTGGATGGGCAACGGTGACCTTGGGGAGGGGCGGGCCCGGGCCGAGAGCCCGGGGATTATTAACTTTTTTATACAGGCAAAATTTGCTCCAGGACCACCTCCCTTTGCGGCTGGACGTCGAAAACGAAGCGATTCACTGGGATACCAATTCTGGGCATATTTGCTGGTTGACAATTTAATTCTCGATAAATATCATTTATGATAATTGTGTTACTTAACTCATTTTTTTCCATAATGTTATAGTAAATCACTTAGTAAGGAGTTACTGTAATCTCGTGGCTACAGAATAAGCTATTCTATGGCTAGCTGCAGAACAGTAGTTTTCTGGGCATATTTGTTGGTCGACAATTTAATTCTCGATAAATATTATTTTTGCCCTTACCCTTTTTTTCTTCCTCACTCCTAGTTCTTATCCCCTTATGCCATGCCCATGCCAGCAGTGGAGCAGTCCCTCCACGCAGAGATGAGCGATCATAGGACGAGCACGCAGGAGGCATGGGTGTGGGCACATGGCTGCCACATCACCGGCCATGAAAGCATGCAGGAGGCCACCACGCCTGATGTGAGGCACCAACGTCAACTGCCGAGAGGTCAATTTCTACGTGAGCTCTGAGACGATTTCTGCTCACGGATCCATGCGTCGCTCCACCTTAGCTGGTGGTGGTTGGCGGCCGGCCGTAGGGGCAGAGGGTGGCAGTGCACGGGGCAGGCCGAGGGCGGCTTGTGAAGTGAGGATGAGAGGTCTCAGAGGGGGAGTGGAGGTTAGGGATGCTAACCATGGCCTTGGATTGGAGGGAGCAGCCTTACGTGCCTAGCGGCGGCCATGTTGGCGGGCGGTGAGAGCTCGGTGGGGGCGGAAGGAGGCAGAATTGGTTAAGGGGAAAGGTGGAGGAGGGGCTAGAGGTGCTTTTTGCGTGTGCTTGAGGTCGGAGAGGTCGGTTGAGCTCCATGGGCGGAAGTGAGAGTAGAGGGCTCGCGCTAGGGTAGAAGAAAGGGGAAGGGGCAAAAGGATATTTCACTACATTTCTCTCTCCTCAAAAGCCAGAAATGAATATTTTATTGGACAAAATGTCCACCAATAAATTTGCCAAGAATCAAAGTGTCTTTCAGCAAATCGCTCCATTTTCGGTGTCCAGCAGCAAAGGGAGGTTACAAAGCAAATTTTGCCTTTCATTTACTACTAACAAATACGTCCGAGCGTTGCAAGGGGAGAAAAAAATTATCGTACGTTAATAGAAAATGAGGACAAAAATGTTATATATCTATTTATATTTTACCTTTTCTATAAATTTTAATGGCTATAATTTATTTTATAATGATCCTGACGTCCATAATAAAGTAAATCTTCCGAAATCTCCATATCGAGCTCCACCAGACGGATATCACTGCACTCTCTCCTTCACCTCTCACCCGCTCCTTCGCGGCTATAAGGCAAAAAAATATTTAGTCGCAAAATATATCAAAACTTTAGTTTTCATATTATCCATCTGGTGATAGAGTTACTATTAGTATTAAGTTCCACGACTTCTTTTGAGTTTTGAGAACCCATAAAGAAGATTTGCCTCTTTAATACTAGAATATAGATACATACAACTAAATATATATCTTTTGTTTCCGTGATGGACGGACACGGACAGGCACGTGGCCGTGGGCAATAATGAGGACGTACCTGAACACGACGTTCCCCGCGATGCAAAACATCCAGGCGGCGCTGGTGAAGATCGGCCTGGGCGACAAGGTAAAGTGACGGTGCCGCTGAACGCCGACGTGTACCAGTCACCGACGGGGAAGCCGTCGGATGGCGACTTCCGTACGGACATCCACGGCCTGATGCTCACAATCGTGCAGTTCCTGGCGTCCACGGGCGTGCCGTTCACGGACCCCAACTGCTTCCTGCTGGACTACGCCTTCTTCCAGGGCTCCTCGTCGCCGGTGGTCGATGGCGGCGTCACCTATACAAGAACACCTTCGACGCCAGCCACGACACGCTCGTGACCGCACTTCCTCGGAATGGCTTCGGAAACGTGTCCGTCGTCGTGGGTGAGTTGGGCTGGCCCGACGACGACGACGCCAATGCCAACCTGGACTGGACTACGCGCGGCGGTTCAACAAGGGCTTCCTCTACCGCACGCCTCCGGCCAGGGCACGCCGCTATGCCGGGGCCCGTCGACGCCTACCTCTTCACCCTCATCCACGAGGACCGCAAGATCATCCAGCCGAGCAACTTCGAGCGCCGCTGGGTCGATCGATCTACTACGACGGCACGCCCAAGTACCCGTTCAGCCTCGTCGGCGGCAACGGCTCGCCTCCACGCTGAAGCCGGCCAGGGGCGTCAAGTACCTGGCCAGGAAGTCATGGGTGCTCGGACCGTCGGCTAACCTCACCGACCAGAAGGTGGGCGACAGCGTCAGCTACGTGTGCAGCCTCGCCCACTGCACCAACCTCGCCTACAGGACCTTCTGCGTTGGCCTCGACGCCAAGGGCAACATCTCCAACGGCTAAGACATCTACTACCAGACAATGGACCAGGACGACCACGCCTGCGACTTCTACGGCCTCGCCACCACCACCTCCATATATCGACCCATCCACCTGGACATGCCGCTTCATCATCGAGATCGACGTCGGCGCCCTGCCCCGCTCAGCCATGGGCATCGTGGCCTGCCCGGGCAGCAGGCGTGCTCGCGGCCTTCATGCTGTCCGTATTCACTACTGGACTCGCATGCTTAGAACCAGAAACCCTCAGCAAAGACTTTTCCGAGGGCTGCCCTCGGCAAAGACCCCTCGGGGAATTTTTAGACGGT